TTACGGAAATGCTACCTTTGTTCCCCTACAGCAGCCTCTCTCCAAACCATTGGTCAGAGGTGCTTTGTACAGGCGTGAGTGCTGGCGGCGAGAAGGAATGGGAATTGGTCTGGAACGAGTACCTGAATTCCAACACTACGCAGGAGAGAACCAGTTTCCTTACCGCTTTAGCATGCAGTGAAAATGCCACTATTTTGTCGAGGTAAGTCTGGCTTCGGGGGATTTATTTGGGGTTAAAGATAATGGTTATACGAAATCGTTATTTTATATCGTTGGTGCAGATAACCCATCTTTCGTGCATTAGAGAAAAAGGAGCTTCTCGTTGTATACAAATTTCCATAGACATTTACCTCCTCCTTTTTATGGGATTACTGTCGAAAATTATAAACGGTTCTGTTCAAGAGACTATTCTTTTCTTGCTTGGGAACCTGCGTGTTCCTATTCCGTGTTTTCTGTTGCTACATTTTTGTAATATACCTTTTCTCCGTTACCGCTGAGTTTACATAGATAGACAGACAGATAGATGAATGCCCAGATAGACATATAAAGTAACGAAAATCTGATATATTATCAGAAATCGAGGCGAAAGTTCAAAAAGTCGAGAAAGCGATGTCAGCTAATAACAGCTTTGTGATTCCTATGTACTAAGTTCTACGTAATTTTTTTTTAGCCTTTGCCTTGACCTTTCTGTTGTAGGAGAGTTTGTGACCATTTCTCATTGCTGTGAAATTCAAATGATTTTTATCGGCTTTCCCATTTTGTATTAAAGGCAGTACCTTGGGTGCGTGAGCTTTGAATATGTGTGCAGGTGTTTTCATTGTCGTCTGGGTAATGATGGTGAATCTGAAATACGTTAAAGGCAGGTATTGTATTTTACGTCACATAAGACGCTACTTGTCATAGGACACAGTATTTTTAACACTACATTAACAGAAACGTATTTCAATTTTTTCGACTCCCACAGAATTTCATTTCTGCATCATAGTTATGCTTATATACTTATATCTTCATATCTGTCATTGTATTATGATTCTGCTTGTGTTTCGTTCGTCCGTTCGTACATTATTTACTGTTTACGTCTGAAATCCTATTTTGTGTGTGCTCACTTGAAGCCTCTTCGTGCTTTATATAACTGAGTCATGTTGTGTCTGGAATCAAATTCCATGCGACTAAGGCCTTGAAGTCTATTCATAATGTAAAATGGAAGTGATAATTGACAACATAAATATTAGAGAATGACACGCACGCAAACCTGCGAGAATCCTATTCTAACTCTATCATTATCATTATTACTGTCATTGTTGCTGCTGTTATTATTATTCCAATAATTACCATCAGTTCATTACTCAACAACTATTCGAGGGGGATATGAAAAGAGGGAAAATGGAGGGGACTCAGAGGAAAAGGGAATGGGTAAGGAGAGAAGGGGAAAGAAAAGCAGGATTAGAGAATATTAAGGCATGGAGGAGCCATGACTAATCCATTATTCATGTCACTGATTTCAGAGGATGTCAAACAAAGGAAATCAGCATAGTCAAACTTTGAGCATTCACTAGCCTTGCCCAAAAAGTACTTGCAGGGCAAAGAACGCAAGCGATTTGGTTGGATGATTTTCAGGGTCAAATGGACGACTTATATGGCGAAAAATACGGTACGAGTCGAAGAGAAAATAATAGAATTTATACCTCAGTAAAACTCACCTCTCTTTCACATATTAAAACTCACTTCTCTTTCGCATATTAAAACTTCTCTTTCGCATATTATTGCAGATATTTGGAGATGTTTCAATCCTGACATGGGATTCAGAAAAGATAATTTTAAGATAATTTTCAGTGCAGTCGCCAATAATATCGTCGGACGTCAGATAGCCTGGACCTTCTTGAAGAAGCACTGGAATGACATCTTAACGTTGTAAGTCACAAAATATTCGTATTCAGTAACGTTAGAGGTTATACATAAGCTTCTCTATTAAATAATAATAATAAGAAATAATAATAACGGTTAAAAAAAGTATGTATTATTCTTCACAGTAAAAATAATAAATCAAGATAATTTAAGTTATGACGAACTTCTATTAGAACAGTCCTGATGTAATTCATAAATCTAATCTAATCCTTGTTAAGACAGAAGCTATTATCCCCAAATTTTACTCTACCGACTATCATCTCTTAATTAAAAAACATAAAATAAAAAATCTGTAATAAAGAATTTCGTTACTTTCAGCAAGAAGCAACAGAGGATACTTGCTGAATAAAATAACCCATTTTTTAAATACGAATCGTGACCTGGCAGACGTAAGACAAGCTTCATAAGTTTTATTGTTTGAGGATATGTTGTTTTGACTAGTTAGTTCTTTATATAATTGTTTACGAACGGTTGAGAAAGTGTAAATTGGAGAATGAGGTATAACACAAAAGATAAAAAGAATTATAGATAAAGACAATGTCAATAGTTTTCATGAATTTTCCAAACAGGATCACATTCATACAGATTTTTTTTT